TTTTTTTTTTTTGGTATCAGAGGTAATGTTTTAATTTGATCTGAAATGAACGAGGTCTGGTGTGCTGAAAACTTTGTTTCACATCCACTGGAAACCTTGTGTTGTGTTCAGGATTATTTTTTTTCTTTTAAAATTCAGATACTGAAACAAAAAGTGATCTTCTTTTACATCTACAGCCTGCTAAATGAGTTCCCAAAACCTTGAGTGTGAGCCAGATTTATTTTTGATTCAGAAAGTCCTTTTTCACTGTGATCTGCATATTGCCTCCTCTGTGGACTGGGTAGTTAAAGCAGCATTCATCTGTCTGTAGACTGCACTCTGGAAAATCCTTAGTGGGCTGATCCCCTGGGAGATAAGACTGGAATCTACAGCCTGGCCTGAGCAGTGGCACTGTCAGATGTTGCCTTTGTGTAATACCTGCACCACCACCTGGAATGTGAAATGCTGGCAGCTCTGGGTTTCCTTTAGGACCTTCAGTGCCACCACTGAAGTGTAGAGAAAACCTTTCTGTTGCCCACCTGCTCCCTGTCCCTAGGTTTTGCTTTGGGTTTGCAGTGTTACCAGATGCAAGTGTTTCATTTACAAGCTGCAAATGTTTAGGGGAGTGTAAAGACTTTGGTGGGCTGTGCCAGTCCTGGAAACCTAATCTGCTGCCACCCTGTCATGCCTCTCTGAAAGGGAACTGCTGCAGAATCTAAATGGTGAGTCTTGCTCCTTCTGCTTTTCTTAAATTCTGAGGAAAAATTCACGTTCAAATGAAACAGACAAAGAAAAAAGCCTCCTTTGAAGTGCCTCCCGAGGACCTGCAATTCCTGGGAAGTGCTGTTGGTAGGTGGTCTGATGACAGGAAAGGTTTGCTGGACTGGGAGTAAGATTGCAAAGTGGTGATGCAGGAGAGCCTGCTTCAGTTTTGTTTCTGACTCTGACTGACTGTTTCTGGCCAAGTCACTTAACCTAATGGATAAAAAGAGAGCAGTGGGTTTAATCCATCTTTTGTGGGGCCCTGTGGGAGTGCTTGAGCAATCATTTGATCCAGTTATGCTCACCATACTTACCTTCCCAAGGCACTGCAAAGCTCTTCCTGGTGAGAGTTAAGGGCTGGGTGCTATAAAGTGTGCACTATTACCTTGGAGCTAATGTTCTCCCACAGTCATTCTTTTAGAAAATAGCATTTTAATAAGTAAATGTAAAAATAATCATCATAATGAAATATTAAAAGCACTAGTCAAGGTAAATCCCAAAGCCACAGGGACCAAATTGTTAACTCTCCTTTATTGTTCCTTGTCCTGTCTTTAGGAGCCAATTATTTTTATAGTGCAAAGAACATTTGTGGAGAGCAGACACTCTTAAAAGCTGAAAATTTACTGTAGCAATATTGTGTAGATTGCCTGTGAACAAAAGCTGGAGAACAGATACACTTGTTGAGGGAAAAATATCCCCTCCTCTAGTTATAAGAGTGATATAATTTAATGTAGCAGTACACACCATAATTCATAGCATTGTTTGTTCCTGTGCTGTGTCCAGCTGCAAGGATGGATGGAACAAAGATCGAAAGTTGAACCATCAAATTGCTGGTGCTGCTGAGGGCTGCCCTGAGGAAGGAGAGGATTGCCCAGGTATGGAGACAGGGCAGTGGCCACTTGCTACCCCACCCACCTGTCAGAAGCCATGTGAGCAGGGAGATGGGACATACAGGAAGCAAAGGATGGACTTTGGCTCTTTCCTGCCCTGGCAGGCGTGCTGCAGTCATGCTGATGGATGTCCTGGTGGCTGCTTGGCACATGCAGGAGCCTTGATCTGCTGCCAGCCCTGAGCTGGAGGAGCAGTAACACAGAAAATCAGCTGGTCTTTCTGATTCCTCTCATCTGCACTGACGAAAACTGGTGAATGTGTGGGTCTGTCTTACCTTCCAGAATGGCTTTGGTGCAGTTACTACATTCTGGAGAAATTAGCATATGGCTTCATTCCAGGAGCACCAGGGGATTAAACACAGGCAGATAAATCAGTGATGGGAAATATTTACAGACTGTGGCACTGAAATTAGTGTGTTTGCTTTTTTTTTTCCCCAGAGTGCAGAAAGGCAACCAGCTCCCTACAGCTCTGTGTTATGTGTCCCCAACACCACTATGCTGTAGCACAGCTGTATGTGTGGAATATTCCTTACAAGGCAGCATGAACAGTAGTGGGTGTCCTCACATTTCCAGGTGAGTTTATGTTGTTTACACATGCCTTTTTTTTTCATCTTGCTTGGTAATGTAAATATGAACACAGTTCTCCCCGGCTGTGCAAAGGCTGAGGTTTTTCTTACTGCTGGAGGGAAGTACAATCGCAAACTGAGCCCCCCTTCCTATTTATTCTATTGTGTGCAGGTTGTTTGGGACTTTACAACAGCTTGTTTTCCCCAGGGAAGGCTTCTAAGCCTAGACATTTGCAGATTGTAAAAATCTGGATGTGCAGGACACAAAGTAAAGCAAACATAAGCACAAAAGGAACCCAGAAATAAAAAATGTTAATGGATGCGAGAAGAACAGCAATTTACCTGTCTCACACATGCACAGAATACTTCAAGAAGCTGTAAATCAGAAGGATCTGAGGCTTAGGCTAGATAATAGGGACATTTCCTCTGCCCTCCCTTGCACAGCATGTCTAAAGAAGGGACAGCCGGAGGTGCCTCCTGATCATCTTGCTACAGCCCTGTAGAGAGCTGAGGTGGCTGCTGCAAGGGCGTAGGTGGCCACAGGGGAACAGATTTGGAAACCAACAGAAGGAGTTTCCCTCCTAGAGCAGCATTTTTGGCTTAGACATTTGATACTTATTAGCGAGCTATTTTTGCAGTGCCCGATCAAGGGTCTTTGAGAGCATCTAGTTCTCTGCTGCCAGCAAGAAAAGAAGGATTGTCACCTCCTGACAGCTTTTCCTGGCTGTGCAGAGCTGCCCCTGACCTAGCCCTTCTCCTCATAGCTTTACTATTCTTGGGAATTTTCCATATAGTTCCTTTTCCTCATTCCCAGACTACTGTTGCCCTCACATGCTTTGACCTCTCAGCAAGTGAGCATCTGCAGCCTTTAAAATTCCTAGTTTGGGCTCAGTTGGACAGATCTTGTCTAACTCTGGTGTGGCTGGGCAAAAAACAGCTCTGGGTATTCTTGTGGTACTCAAATACTTCTACCAGTACTCAGCACCTGGTAGAAGACCAGCAGCAGGGTCATGCATATTCATGAGCAGTCATGGGCCATGCCACTGCCTTTCCATGCTTTTGGCTGGCAGCTTTCTGCTGGATCCACACGGGAGCTGGGCACTGTCACGGGATCCTGGCACCGGGGGACGCGTGTGTGACACAGACCAGTGCAGCTTGGCACAAACCCAGCGACGTGGCCAGCCCGGCTCAATCATCACCTGGAGCACCACTGAAGCTGAGGAAAACTCAGCATCACCCCACAGGCCAAGCATGGAGTCTGCTCAGCTCCAGGCTGCCTTGTGACTGCCAAATTCCACGATAAAAATACCCCAGCGGGGACGGCACCTGCTAGTACGCCAGGCTGGCTCGCCAGCTAGGGGCTGCTCTCTGCCATTCCTTTTTTGCACTGCCTTTATCTGCGGGAGGGGAAGTGTCTGTTGCCCTCTGAGCAGTTTTGCCCATCCTCTTGGTGATGCCACGTGCTCTGAAGGACGGGCGAGCATTTCACATCACTGCTGCTCGCTCCAGCCAGCACGCTCGTTCTGGTTGGAACTAGCCAGGGCTCTGATGAACAGCTAGCAAACCCACACCAGAGAGCCAGGAGGGCTGTTCCTGTGCAATCATCTTTATATGAGTTTATTTCCCTGGGGGTTGCTAGGAAGAAAGTTTTCCCCTCTTTAGAAGACAGGCGAGGCTATCAGCAGTGATATAAATAGCTGAGCTCAACACTTCAAGCTAGCTTTTCCCACAAGGAAGGTGACAGGAGGTCGCCATCTCTGCGGGATGGTTCTAAAATAAAGTGGAGAGTCTGATTATTACACTGTTTCTGCTCTCCCTTGCTGGGCTCACCTCTTCCCCGTGGCAGATCCCAGGGGCACCTGGGGAGGCTCTCCCAGGAAGGCTCCTTTGTGTGAGGCAGGCACACTTCCCAGGGAGGGGGAAAGTATCCGATTCAAAGCCATTGTGTTTTTGCCCGATCTCTGTGTGTGATTTGCTCAATCAGGTACAAATGTCTGTCTCTGGGAATTAATGAGATTTCACAACAAAGTGGAGGGCCCAGCATGTTTTAAGAAGCTCACACTCCAGACACGTGGCTGTGTGTGGAGGCCGTGCAAGGAGTGCATCCCCTCCAAGCTACTGAGTGAGGAGGCAGCTGTCCCCTCTGGGTACTGGGCATGTGAGCAGTGGCATTGCAGTGGGGCATCCAGGCAAGCTGGTCAGTGCCTAGGAACTGCTCGTGGCTTTCCTCCCTCCAGCTGTGTTATCTCATACAGGTCCAGGCCAGCACGTGGCACAGCAGATCATGGTGGGTGTGTGGGCAAAGATCTTTGCCATGTGCTGGCACTTTTTAGGCTGAACCCAGACAGGAGTGGAGCCCACACTGCCCAACTGTGCACTCACAGCTGTAGGCACTTGGGAAGGTCACTTCAAGCTCTGCACTGGAGGCTGGTTAATGCTACTTAAGGATCTCCAGCCCCTTGTTAGTAGCCTCAGCATCCCATGCAGTGCAGATGTTGTCACCTCTGTCTTGCAGATGGTGATCACTGGGGTA